AACAACAACAACAACAACAAACCACCATCCTTATAATCTCTGTTCTGCTCAGGCCCATTGTGGTAGTCATGGTGTCAACTGATATTCTTGAGTGTTTTCCTTCTTCCATTGACCTTTCCCAGCATGATGTCTCTTTCCAATGGCAATATTCCCAAATGAGAAGTTTTACCATTCTTGCTTCTGAAGCGTCATCTGGTTGCATTTCCTTCAAGGCAGATATGTTTGTTCTTTTGGCAATCCATTCAATACACTTTGCCACCATCACAATCCTTCTTCTGTTATATTTATTCATTGTCCAGTTTTCAGATTTATTAGACACAATTAAAAAGACCATGGCTTGGGTTAGGCACACCTTAGTCTTTAAACTAATATCATTGCTTTTTAGTACTTTGGTGACGTCCTTAACAGATTTCCCCAGTGCAACTCTTTTCATTTCTTGATTATTGCTGTCATGGAAAAAGCCTCATGTGAGTACTCACTAATGCTTGTCAGAGGGCACATAACAGCATCTGTGGAAGGAATTGGATACTCAGCTTTTTTACTACTTAAAGCCTCTATTGAATCCTTTTGAGGCTTATGTCAAAAAAGGTTCCCAGGACCAATTCTTGTAGGTCTCCCATTTCAACCAACTGGGCATTGACCTAACAAATACTGAGCACCCTACCCTGTGCTCAAAACCCTGTTTTGTGTTTAACAGGAACACATGACTAATGTGAATCAAACAATAGTAACACTAAGTGTGACATTACAGGGTAGATTCTATGTTAATTATTTAGAATTGCAGGGAGCTCTGGTGGCCCAGTGGCAAGAAGATGCACTGCAATACCAAAGGCACAGGGTTCAAATCTACCAGCTGCTCCATAGGAGAAGGATGGGCAATATTCTCTCTTTCAAATAACTGCCTTTGAAAATCAGCTGGAGGGTCAACTATGGGTGGGTTATGATTTGACAGTACAAAATAACAATTTAGAATTAGTGTTTATTAATGACCGATTCAGAGGAGATTTAAACTGTCAATAGCTTCATCTTGCTTGGATCCACATTTGACATCCTTGGTAACAGCAGTCAAAAAGTAAGAAGAAGCATTGCACTGGGAAAATAATGCATTTAGGGACCTCTTTAAATTATTGAGGAGTAATGATGTCACTTTGAGGATTAAGGTGTATCTGATTCAGGCTATAGTCTTTCTGATGACTTGCGATGCCTCTAAAAGCTGGCCAATGGATGACAGAAGAATTGATACTTTTAAGTTGTGGTATTGGAGAAGAGCACTAAACATCCCACAGACAGCCAAAAGAACAAAGAAATATGTCTTGGAGAGGGTGCAGCCAGAGTGCTTTTTGGAATCAAGAAAGATGAGGCTTTGCCTCACATACTTTGGGTATGTTGCTAGGAGGGGGCTATTCCTTGAATAGGGACATGATGATAGGAGGAGTGGAGGGTCAGTGAAGGAGACCCTCAACCACATAAATTAACAAAGTGACTGCCTCAATGGATTCCTGTGTATCAGGAAGTATGAGGATGGCACAGGATAAAACAAGGTTCAGCTCTTTTGTTCATAGGGTCACTATGAGTCATACTCGACTGGGTGCCACCTAACAACGTTTGTTGTTGTTATGTGCCATTGAGTCGCTTGCGACTCATAGCGACCCTATGTACAAGAGCCCTGAACGCCGTTCTATCCTGTGCCAACCTTGCCATCTCAAACACACTCATTCCCACCACTCCACTCACAGAATCATCCATCTCATCTTCCTCTCCTGCGCCGTCCCTCCACTCTCCCAAACATGATGTCCCTCTCCAAGGACCAGTCCCTCCTTGCAACATGCCCAATGCATGTCA